ACAAAAGCAAAGGACAGACAGACGTGGAGCAAAATGGAGGAGGCCTTTACTCGTTGAGAGGTCCATAATGACATGCATTAATAATTACTTTGACATTCAATTGTCATTTGGAATTTGAATTTTATTATTATTATTATTACTTGACAATTGTATGAAATGATAATTTTAAAATGCTAATTGTATCTAATTTATGGTATTAATTGTTGTAATATTTTATTATTTCATGCATGTACTTATGAATAATTCTATGATATTTATTACTTGTACATTTATTTATTTTTTATATTGCCAACACTCACACCAATTAGCCTAGCCCCAAAGTAAGTACTATAAGGCTTGCGTTATGGGATACTAGGGTAACGGATAGAATACATATACTGTACATATATAAGTATATTCATATAGAATTACATATTAAACATCCATGACTGGTGTACAAATGCTCGTATTCCTCACACAAACATCTGCCCCCACCGGGATTCGAACCCGCAACCTCTCGGCGACACCATGGAACCCGGCGTACAAACCACTCGGCCACGGAGGTCGTCATTATGGAAATAAAGAGGCTATATTATTATTATCATCATCGTCATCATCAACAGCCTATCCTAGTCCACTGCTGGACATAGGCCTCTCCAAATGCACGCCACTCAGATCGATCTTGCATCCAGCTCCTGCCAGCCACCTTGCGCAAATCGTCACTCCATCGTGCCTGAGGACGTCCTACACTACGTTTGCCTAGACGCGGTCTCCACTCCAGAACTCCTCTACCCCAACGGTTATCGGTTCTTCGACAAATATGGCCAGCCCACTGTCACTTCAACTTGCTAATTCGGTGGGATATGTCGATAACTCTGGTTCTCTGTCGGATTACCTCATTTCTGATGCGATCCTTAAGAGAAACACATTCATCATCATCATCGTCATCATCAGCCTATCAATGTCCCCACTGCTGGGGCATAGGCCTTCCCTATCGATGGAATAGGGAGATTGGGCCATGATCCACCACGCGAGCCCAGTGCGGATTGGTGGGTGCTAACGACTGCAGATGCAGCCGGGACCAACGGCTTAACGTGCCTTCCGAAGCACGGAGGAGCTCGAGATAGTAAATTTTTGGTCACCCATCCAATGACCGACCAGAAACGCATTGATTGATTTATATAATTTACATGTAAATAACATATGTACCTTTTACATAATTTTTATCCGTTTAAAGTACGCAGATCCTAAAAGTAATTTTTATTTCAATCATTTTCTGACAATTAAATTTTGTTAAGTTTTCATAGTTGCACAATTATTGAGTCGACGTGAAGACACATTTCCAAAAAAAGACACGAGGAGCTCGATGGCACTAATGGTTAGCGCGTTCGGCTACGATAGATGAAAGTAAAGCAACTTTCGCAGTGGTCGGTCATTAGATGGGTGACCGAAAATCTTCTATCTAGAGTTCCTCCGTCAAGCCGTTAGTCTCGGCTGCATCTGCAGTCGTTAGCACCCGCCAATCCACACTGGGCCCGCGTGTTGGGTCATTGCCCAATCTCCCTATTCCATCTACAGGGAAGACCTGTGCCCCAGCAGTGGGGACATTAATAGGCTGATAATGATGATGTTGTCTGAATTAGCTAGTTTTCCAGGTAACTTAAAATTCACGGTGTATATACTTACCTATCTATACATACTCATACATGTACGTTCTGAATAAGGTTTGTAATAAATTAACTACCAAATACTTATATAACAAAAAATTAAGAACACTTTTTTTGAGTGTATATGCTGTTGGTCGCAGATAACCTTTACAGCGTCACCGGGTTTGGGGACGGCGAGATCCTAAGGGGACCTTAAGCCGAGAATTGGCGAGTGCCTCTAGAGGTATTCCAGGCGGATGGCATCTCCCCACGGGGGATTTGAAATAAGAATTTCGGTGCAATTAGCCCTTAATCATTAACATAGTGAAAAATAGTAGCGAAAAATTAATAATAAAAAATTGTGCGTGTCAGCTCCGACGCACGACTGGAGTTTACTCCTTAAGTTCGATAGTCTAACCAGACGCAAAAAGAGTTTATTTAACTTAAAAAAGATTGATACTGTATGAAAGGGTAAATTAACAAATTAATGAAAATAATATACATATATAAATATATATTTATTCATTTCATATACATAAATTTATTATAACTAATCGACGAAATATTTTATATTAAACTTTTTACAATAGTCAATTTCAGATGTGCATAAATATATCATTAGGAATGTTGATAAATTATGTAATTATTATTATCAGACTATTATCATTTTTTTAAATATTGATTAAATCAACATTGTCTGCATTATTAATTACAGTGACAAGTGGTTTATGGTAACTAAAATAAGACACATGGACGTTCGTAGATACGTGGTTCACGAATCTTGAAAATACCGTATCAAAGGTTGTACCATACCTCGTTGTCCCCATTGCTCTATCAGAAACAATATCTAAATTCAGTATAGATTTAAAAAAAAAAAATAATGTCAATCCGTCATCTTTGTTTGTCAAATCGATAGATTTTACTCCTCACATTTTTCTCATACCGGGCCCCTTATATATGCAAATCGATTCTTAAGGAGTAAACTCCAATAATAATCATTTATTCATAACCCCCCAACATTTTACATTTAAAGTATTATGCTAATAAAGTCTACGGGTATTTATATAAAAATCTGAAGATATGGACCCCAAACCCAGAAACTAGTAAAAACTGTAATTATCAGGGTTATTGATTCCTCGGTCGACATATTGCAAAAAGTAGCTAAAAATTAACGCAATTAATTCAATCTCATTCATACTATCACATTCCACTTGCTTGTACACACTTCTGACCGGGACACAGTCATGCTACTGAACTGTCAAAGCTGTACGCTATGACTCATCATTCATTGTCTCAAGGCTCGGAAGTTACAAGTTATAATTTCATTTAGGGTTCCGTATCGACGAGACAGAAAAAGGTCGATCTTCGAATCTGATCAGGTTTTCGCTATGATTTGTGAATTCCATAATAGTTATGATGACTAACTTTCTTCGTCTATCAGGTAGATAGATTATCAGAAAGTATTGGACACTTAATTTTATTAAATACCTAACGGCCCGCCCTCGCTTCGCTTCGGTGTAGAGCTGAAGTGTAGACTACAGTTTTTGTTCTCAGGCTTGTATTATACACAATGACATTCAATGATTCTTCTTATATCTGCATGCAAAGTCTCAGCCCGATCGGTTTAAAATTGACAAAGTTTCATACAAAGTTTCATTACCTATTTTATCCCTTTGGGGGTAGAATTGATCAAAGTTCTTTCTTAGCGGATATCTACGTCATAACTTGTACCTGCATGCCAAATTTCAACCCGATCCGTCCAGCGGTTTGAGCTGTGCGTTGATAGATCACTATGTCAGCCAGTCGGTCACCTTTGAGTTTTATATATACAGATTAAAGCATTACAGAGATGAGTTGGTTTGAAATATCGCATGACGTCACGTCGTGGTACAATGTTTATATAGAAGTGACATCACAAGCCCCGACTCCTTAACTTTGCCGCGTTTTATCTTTGTCATTTTTGGTTGATTGACAGACGAACTAACCGCGCCATCATCCCTATTAAGTTTTTTTTTATTGATGGGTCCGACAAATGACTCCACCCCACCTGATGTTAAGTCGTCACTTCGTGTCACGTCGTGAAGTCCAGACGCGAAGATAGCTGATACAGCAGTTCTACCTGCCACACCAGCCATCCTCAGCCTGCCGGCCTGCATGTTGCCTCTTCACGCCTCTTTTACAGGATACCAGGTTGTAAGAAGGAGCGAACACGTGAGCGGGCAGAGTATGCCGTTTACGGATAGTGCGACAAAGAAATGAGGTATCAAATTTCTTTGTACTATATCCCATAATTCGTGAAACTTAGGGAGCTCATCCTTGAGTTTCTATTCAATTTTCTATATTACCTCGACTCTAGGTGTTTGTGGTAGTCTAATTGCAAAATAACATACACTATGGCATATTTTTTTATTAGAGAGTTCGGCAGTATCATTTGCCGAAGACAAAAAAGCGGGAAGGGCAATATGGGGAATGAGGTGAGTACCTTGACCTTCGAAACAGACAGGGAAAGAAGATTGCTGCCAAACTTTCTCGGAAAATAAGTAATTTAAATTTTTGGATAGTATCTTTCTGAGCGAACTGTCAAGCCAAATGAGAACTGCCCTGGAAATAGGGAATTTTGGAATTGTAGCGCAAAAAATAATTAAATTGAAAGCCACGTAAAGGATATTTTTTTTCAAAAAAATGTTGGGAATATGCTGAAATTTGGAAATTTGTGAATTATTAAAAATAGTAATAGAAAATTAACGATGTCAGGTTATTCTAAAGATCGACGTATTGATGTGTTTGTTCAAAATTATTACATATTTTTATTTAATGCGGAAATGCTTAAGAAGTATTAGAATTAACTAATGAAGATACAATAATTGCCAAACCTTATTGTCTAGTTTTTCTTACTGTCTGAACAAGATATTTTGTGATTTTATAAAAAATCTTTTATCATTTTAAGTATAAATAAATTCCTCTACGTCACAACTTTGTCAATTCATTCTTAATTTATAAGAAGATCAGGATTAGATACAACTAAAATAGGTATTTGATAAATTTGCTTTAACCTGTATCCAAAAAAAAAAAATTATTTTAACGAGTTCCTGATAAAAGTTAATTCACTTGGACTTAAAGGATCTTATTTATGAAACACGCTACCGTTCTAAATCCTTAAACACGATGCAAGCCACAAAACACTTTAAATTTTAGTGCAATACTCCATCTAAAAACCCCAAACTGTCGACTTCCTCTCACAATTTTCCTAACCACTTAAAAATTTACTGTTAATTGTTATAATTCTATACGACGGGATCCTCTTGACTCCAATCGACTCGCACCCAACCGGGCTTTACAACAACTCATTCTTAACAAAATGGTGAGTCACAAAAACTTCGATGACCTATAAAAAACTTATACCGGGCTCACCGGTATACACACTACACATTATCCTTCACGGCGACAAGTTAAAAGTGAAACCCGCGGATTAAACAAAAAACCCGCATTCGCCGTGAGTTGTCGGAAAACTATTTGGCCATCTGTGACGGTTCGTTAGTTGTTGAACTCGGTGCTTCGAGGCAAGACCACTGCGATGGGTCTCAATTTGTTAGGACTTCACGTACTAGTAAGTATTAACGATCGTTCTACGAAAGTGCAAGTGCGGTGAAGTGATAAAAGTGTACGGCGTACCGAAAGAAGAATATTAAATGAAAATAATTTAGATGTTTGATGGATAAAAGTGTACGGCGTACCGAAAGAAGAATATTAAATAAAAATAATTTAGATGTTTGATGGATAAAAGTGTACGGCGTACCGAAAGAAGAATATTAAATAAAAAAGAAGTTTAATTTAGTTAGATGTTTGATGAGGTGGTGATTTAAAAAAATTGAGAAGTTCCTATGTGTGGATAAAGTGATGTGTGTTATTAATTATTTACGTTGTATGATAATTAATCTTTCGCATTGTGGCTCAGACTCGAAATCTCACGTGAAGTGGGCACCACCGTTCTATAGAGAATTTTCAACATTATCATGATGGTAAAATAGAGTTTCACAAACACGTTTCGTAGCACGACCCCGTCACCTTTACCGTGGATCCCTGGAAACCTAGCCAGACCCCGATAAATAACATACACAATAAAAAGCTTGACGAATAAGATTTTTGAGAAGCGATTTAAAGAAAACTGTTAACTAAGGGTAAATTAAAAAAAACCTGTAACAATGTTTATGGTAACAGAAAATGTTAAAAATCTAACGTTTTAATAAATCGTTTATTCTCAGACAGCACAAGTACATAATGTTTGTAAAAATATTTCTCGAATCTACGTTAGTAAATTTTTTAATCGTCAGCTTCGGAAGGCACGTTAATCTAACGGTCCAGGCTGCTGCAGTCGTTAGCACCCGCCAAACCGCACTGGGCCCGCGTAGTGGGTCATGGCTCATTCTCCCTATTCCATCCATAGGGAAGGCCTGTACCCCAGCAGTGGGGACATTAATAGGCTGATGATGATGATGATAATGAGGCAACAAGGCGCGAGGGATATTTTTTGTATCTCAAGAATACCGTACCTTTTAATCACGGAGAAGGTAGAGCTAATAAATTTTGGTCAGCCATCCAACGACCGGCCACTGCAAAAGTTGCTTAACTCCACTCACACTCCAATTAAGTTACACAATTTTATGTTATGTCAATCTCAATTATATTATTCATTAGTAGGTTCTAATTAGCAATTCCGTCACGCGTTCTGAAGCGAATTTCCTGAGCTGTGTAAAAAATTAACAAGGCACAACAACAAAAAGATGGTTCAAGATCATACATTCATTCGACGACCTCCGTGGCCGAGTGGTTTGTACGCCGGGTTTCATGGTGTCGCCGACTCGAGAGGTCCCGGGTTCGAATCCCGGTGGGGGCAGATGTTTGTGTGATGAATACGAGCATTTGTACTCCAGTCATGGATGTTTAATATATATTTCTATATAAATATACTTTTATATGTACTGTATATGTATTCTATCTGTTACCCTAGCATCCCATAACACAAGCCTTACAGTGCTTACTTTGGGGCTAGGCTAATTGGTGTGAGTGTTGGAAATATTTATTTATTTATACACAGTAGCTAAACAAATATCATTGTTATAATTTTTATTATTATAAAGCATGTAACTGCTTGATGTTTAAATCTAAAGAAAATATAATTAGAAAAAAATCCACGCGGACCAGACAGCAGACGGGACGGGATTGTGGGTTACCTATAATACAAAGAGATGGCGCTGCCTTGCAGCTTAAGAATGGCTAGAAGAATTTCGACGCGGTCCGTCCGTCGCGGTAGCAAATATAAATAAATAAATAATAAATAAATATTTCCAACGCTCACACTAATTAGCCTAGCCCCAAAGTAAACACTGTAGGCTTGTGTTGTGTGACGCAATGGTAACGGATAGAATACATATACTTTACATATATAAGTATATTTATATAGAAATACATATTAAACATCCATGACTGGAGTACAAATGCTCGTATTCATCACACAAGCATCTACCCCCACCGGGATTAGAACCCGGGACCTCTCGAGTTGGCGACACCATGAAACACGGTGTACAAACCACTCGACCATGGAGGTCGTCTCAATATCATTATTATTTAACTTTGTAAAAGCCATTTTTTAATAACAGTTTATTTGTCTATTAAATTAGTATCTGTAGTTACAAAAGTAAGACATAAATTCCAAAGTAAGTACCCCTAGCACGAACCAATATCGAATTCGTATCGTTTGCGCGGTCTGCAGGCAGGGTCCTTGGCCAGCTGTATTCTAACTTCATTTTCGGCAGCACTGCCTCTTTCACCGACTGTGGTGGTAACTTCATATTCCCACGCAAGTTAACACCTCCTATGAATATTGCATACGTTCTAAGATTCTTCAGAAATGAATTAAATATATACAGTGTGCTATAGTTATAAACAATGTCGGATAAATCTAAAGAAAAGTTTACTAGAAAAAAATCCACGCGGACCAGCTAACGCTAGGAAAATTTCGACGCGGCTAATAGGACCGTGGTAGCATAATGGTCAGTGCATTCGCCTTGCGAATTGCGAAGGATGCGGGTTCGAGTCCGCTGCCTGGTCCGCGTGGATTTTTTTCTAGTAAACTTTTCTTTAGATTTAAACATCTAGCAGTTAAATGCTTAAAAATAAAATAAAATCATAATGTCGGATAAATTAAAAAATCCCTCAGGTATCAGCAGAACTCGAACCTGTGTATCTCACCGTCACTGCCCGGCAACTACGCTATCGTTGTGAATCTTTTGCAGTGAAGCTAACGCAATACAAAATTATTTTAAAATTTTAGATAATACTAACTGATTTTTCGAACGCGTGGCGAACTTCGTATCGCCATAAAAATATGAGTGGTAGACGGGTGAAACTTTAGGGTTGTATGTATTTTATAAAGTCGCATCATAAAATAAATATTGTCCAAAAAATAAATGTTAGAGGAACCACCCTTATCACTTAGGGGTATGAAAAATAGATAGTAGCCGATTCTCATATCTACTGAATATGCATATAAATTTTCATAAAAATCGGTCAAGCCGTTTCGGAGGAGTTTGGTAACTAACATTGTGACACGAGAATTTTATATATAAGACTAGCTGACCCAGCGAACTTCGTACCGCCATAAAAAATAGGGGTTGGTGGTAGAAAGTTGAAAATTTAGGGATGTATGTATTTTTGTATGATGTATCATAAAAAAAATAAAAAGAAAAATATCTAAAATTGAAAAAGAAAATTTAGGGGTGGATTACCCTTAACATTAATGATGAAAAATAGATTAAATCCGATTCTCAGACCTACTGAATATGCATATAAAAATTCACGAAAATCGGTCGAGCCGTTTCGGAGGAGTTTAACCACAAACACCGCGACACGAGAATTTTATATATTAGATGTAAAAATGTGACACTTAAATACTCAGATAATGGGCCTTCTGGTATAAAATCTCTTAAATTAAAACTAATTTTATAAGCATTTACTTTTTCATTCTTTATACAGCATTTTTACAGTATGAAAGCATATCGTGCCAGAATTAGGCACACACAAAAAATCGAATAGGTAGGTAGGTAACATTGGAACAAATGGTTCCATTTGTTCGAATTCGAATAGTTTGCAAACCGAAATGTCAATACTAATTTTGTATGGAAGCTTGAACAGCAGCGGCACAAAGTACGTAACGAGAACTAAAAATCAGTACACATTTGACAATGACATTTCGGTCTCGCAAACGATACGAATTCGATATTGGTTCGTGCTAAGGGCACGGAACTCATTTGTGTCAGCGTAAACTAATAAGGACAACTAGACGTGCTAAAAAATATTATATAACGACGTGTTGCACTCCGGGAGTGCCGGCAGAAGTGAAAACTTGAATATTAACGTTGTGCATTTTTGATATTTTGGAATGGTTAGGGAATAATTTTGCACGAATTGCTTTAATTATCAGTATAAAAATACTATCATGTATGTGGTAGAATACAATATTTATTTATTGCGCTATCGTACACAAACATGACATATAATATACATTAAAAAAGTTTATTTCTCAAAAATATCAACTTACATGAATCACATTTAAGCGCACCTAGCGATATCTATTGTTAAAAAAAAGCATTTTCTTCGCAATAAAGCTGCCACGTGGACGTCCTAGATAGAGACTTACAGCTTGCCGGCCTGCAAAAATGCTTCTTCACGCTCTCTGAAAGGACCCCAGATTGTAGGAAGGAGGGAACACGTGCGCATGCAAAGAATTCCACTTGCGAATAGTACGACAAAGAAATGTGTCACCAAATGACAATGACAGATTCTGACCCACCATATACAGTAATATTAAATTTATGAAAAAATATATACGATTTTTTTTTCTTGTACCGATTTAATTATTACTTTGTAAAAGCGGCGGATACGAAATAAATATTAAAATTATTTGTATCTACTGTTTCCGTTAGGAGAAGAACGAAAACATGGCATATGCGTTTTGTTTCACGACAAACAATAAAATGCCAGTCAAGTTTTCGAAAAATATCGTTCTCTTTTTTAATATTATGGGTAAAATAAGCATTTCGGTTATAAATATAATTAATTTATGTTTATAAAAAAAGTTTAACGATTATCGTACCTTGTATTTTTATGCGCATACACATTATTATGTAGTACCTAGTACCTATGTGAAACTAAACGATATTCTGGATTGATATCCTTTTGATTGACATTTCCGTCAAACAAAAGGATTTGGACGACATTGTTGTTTGTGATTTGGAACCATGTTGAGATGCATAAATTGTTATTTATGTGTCGATAGAATACAAAGGCATGTCCTATATACACTATCAGCTACAATACGGACACTGTTGAATAATTTATAAAAAATCCAATTTTCTGATCAAATTGCAGCTCGAGAAACGCATGATAATTGTACTCTTTGTAAGTATATTATTCAATAACCACAGCTTCTAGAGAATTTACAACTTTACTATTTTGATTCCTAATATTATAGCTATGAAATGTCATTTATCGCATTCGTGTACACCATTTTTATCGGGTGGGTTAAACCTCTATAGAACTTCTGGCATT